TCACTGGTTATCTCCCAGCAAAGAAAGACAGAAGAAAGGGGAAAAAAATCTAAAGCCTAATAAAACTCATTTGCTTTTCTGATAGGCATTGCATATTTTATGACTCCTGCTAAGACTGCATATAATCTAATTTAATATTTTCTTGATGAGTCAAAGTTATCATTGCTATCCAGTATTTTAATTATGATATTATAGTGCACGAAAGTGCTCAGAAGCTGGCTAAACTTGTTTCATTTCATCCTAAATAAGTGATTTCCAAAGTTCTCACTATATTGTGAGACAGTATAAAAATAAACAAAAGTCATAGAAATATGGAATGCATTTCAGGAAGATTTTAATAAAAATGAAAATAATTTTACAACAGACAATATCAGGGCTTAAAGAATTATGCATTGATGACCTGGAAAATTTTCTTGAGATTAAGATTTCATTTCCCAGTAGTGCCAGAGAGCTGACTGCTGGCTCTATCTGAGAATTTGAATGCAAAATGCAGGGGGAACCAAAAAAAAAAAAAAACCACCAAGAATGTTGTATTGGACTATCAGCATGTATTGTGATCTATCTTGAACAAAAGCCAGTAGGGCTGCTATCATCTTCCAGTAGTTAGAGCATCATTACACGGTTTCTACAAATAGATAGCTGTTATTTTGATGCAATTCTATTAGAATCTGCATTTGCCATAATAAGCTATGTAGGCTAAGAACACTGTCAACAAAAGTGTTAATCAGATGGTTATTGTAACCACTGTATTTGAGCCCTGTTTAAAGCTGTTCTGCAGCTTACCAGACATGTGTCTGGCAGGCTCTTCCTTTGCCAGTGGCAGGTTGTAGTCACTGATGGACAGTAAAGTTTACGGAAGGAGAAACGACACATCTTTGTGCTTTAACTTTTGCTACAGCTGTGCTTTGTTTAAAGATTATATACGTATGCGGCTGTTTCACGGTTCCTTCCCCTCTGTACCTGATGGGAAATATTGGTACTTTGACTTAAAAAAAAATGCCCTACTTTCCTTTTCAACATCTTATAATACTGAGCACAACTGCCTTTGTTAACCTTCACTCGCGTTACTTCCTAGTTCATTATAAATATAAATTTTGCAATAACAATATTGAACTTATGCTTTTCTGTGGGTAACTTTTATTCTTGTCTATAATCCATATTTTGATTGTGTACTGCTTTGAGTCTTCCCATGTTTGTAATTTATCCAGCAGTCATTATCTGCCATTGTAGACAATATATTTTTATTATCCGACTTGGTGGAATATTTCCAAGAATTGGCCTGTTCCCCTCTGCTAACATGCCTTCAGAAATACAAACGTGGACAAAATAGCCCTGATTCAAAATGTTAAACATCCTTGTATGCTGTAAACTCGACAGAAATAGAAATTAACTTGTCATCTATCCTTTAGAAGTAAGGCACTTTAAGAGAAACATTAGTGAACTAAAAGAAATGTCTTAATACTGTGTATTAAAGCAGTGCTTTGTTTAAGAAACTCTGATGAGGGGAAAAATATTACATCTATGAAAATATGAGTCTACAATTCTGTTTAGGTGCAATCACAAAATGGGCTATTTTGAAGTCACTTATTTTTTCTGAGCAAAATTGACAGTCATTCTCTGTAGAATCAATTGGACAAATCTATAGTATGTCCAACTCAGCATGTATGATGACAAATAAATGACCCACCTTCAGGGCTGGTATTAGATTAAAAAATGTCGTATATTAAGGCAAAATCTTACTGGAAAGCCTGACTAGTGCCTGGAGCTAGATTTTATCGAAATATTTCAACGCACATCACAAATATGAAATGTATTTTCTTCAAATGCACATGAGCAATGGATTGAGAAAACTCTATATGCGGCCAAAAAGCAAACTCTGGGAAGTACGCCAAAACCTGAAGGGAATCGGGGGTGAAAACGGGAGTCAAAGAGCAGACCTCAAAGGATGTAGTGTACAATGTCTCGCTCTGTTTTATCTTCATAGAAACTCATGTCAGCTTCAACTGGGAGACATAGCCCAGGCCCTGGACCTTGTGCTTGACACCTGGCTTCAGCGCCAGTAAACGCCTGCAGTGTTGACTCTGAGTTACTGTAAGGCTCTGAAACTTTTCTGGACCTTTCACAAGGTGGTAATTTTTGTAAAATACAAAGTGGGCACCTCCCTTTTGAAATACAGAACTCCATTATATAAGCAGACGAAAGCAGACACCCTGCAGTAAAATTGCAGATGACAACTTTTGTACATCATAGAGGATCTGCTGGGCTCCCTAAACTATAAAAACCACCAGGAGTGCAAGGGAGGCGACGTGGTGTAGTGATTGGGAGAACAGATGGTCTGGTCTGGAACCTGAGCTCTGCCATTTTTCAACCATGTGAGGCCACGTACGTCATCTACCTTCCCTATACCTTGGTTTCTGCATCTGTAATTTAGAGTTATGAGAATGAAGTGGGTTAACATTTGTGAAGCGTTCAGAGTTGTCATGTATGTCTTTGTCTAAAAAAAAAAGTCTTCCTTAATGTATTCATTTTAATGTTCTTTGAAATGAAGAGTGAGGACATGTACTATGGCAGGATAAGGTTTTATTGCCTAGGATATTATGTTTCCTAAGATTATTACTCCTCAGTCTACTCTCCATTGGTTGGTCTTATCCTAGAGAAGTCAATCACCAATGCGATTCCAGACGTGGACTTGCAAGTTTCGTGTGTATTCCTGTGTGATCCCACGGTGGGTAAATCATGCTCCATTCATTTTTGAAGACTAATGAGAATTTTGCAAAACACTATGAAAATAATTTCTTCTAGTTTAGAATCCCTTCTCAATTTGCTTTTCTCTAGCTTTCTCTCCACAGTAACTTAATTAACCCCTAGTCTAATACAGCGTCAGTATTATCTCCCCCCAAAAATCTCAAGGCATTTTCAATGGCCTCCAGCGATCATTGTGCAATTTTCACTCAGTCTGAAGTCAAGGTTGGCCAAGCAATAGTTTTTGATCAACCAAGCTGTGTTTTCTACTTCTGCACCTGGAGTTGGAAGAAAGCCATTATAAATCAGGCAGGCTTACAATTCAGGATGTAATCATAGTGCTTAGTTTTCATTAGGTTTTCTGTGTGTTCTGTTTTGTTTCTGTGACAGCCTGTAAACCATTTACGTAGACCGAATACAGCCAGGTACGGCAGGACAGATGAGGGACGACTATGCCCGTCACGCAGAAACGTCTGCGTGCCATCACTAACTACCTGCCACGCGCTGGAAATGCCTCTTACTTCCTAGCTGACAAGTGGCTATTTGGGGTCTGTCATTCTCTGCATCACAATGTAGATTTTTAATTTTGATGACTGTACAGCCCCTGGTAGGGTGTAACGTTTCTGACATAGGAGAGAGAAACAGGGCATTTAATAGCATTTATTTCTGGGGAGAAATTACAAGAATTTGCATTGAATTGGAGAAAATGACTGCAAAACAGGGAGAGCACACTGTGCTACCAAGAGCAAAAAGCACGTTGTGTCCCTGCACATTCATCACCCACTGAGTCCAAACGGAACACAGCTCTTTCTCCAGAGCCGCCTCCATGGTTAGGGCTCTAAAGGATGGTGGCACAGTCAAATAAAAAGCTGATTGGGATAATTACTAGTTGGTAGAAGGCATGTTTGAAGTTTTACTGCAGATACTGGACTTACATAATGTCATCATTACCTGTGACTGCATCTGCATACGTCTGGTTAGAAAAGGTCATTTAATTTCTGATTCATCTCAGGAAAAAAAATCGGCTAGAAGAATAAGATGGATACATTATTAAAATAACGCCAATAGCTATTCAAAACGGCATGCTTTCAGTTGCTTTAATACCGCACTCTTGGCTCAAAGCAAACATTTCCCATTTCATTCTGCATAAAGGTATGCTTCGTGTTGGAACAAGCAAACGAACAGGAAAACAAACAAAATACTACAAAAAGAAACTAGTTCCTAAATTCTTATTTATAAGAGAATGCATATTTTTCTGATTACAAAAATGATATGTGTTCATTGCATAATACATAGAAAAAATAATCATAAGGAAATAAAAACAACCAGCAATCTACTGCTACTAATTAAAGTAGATCCGTTTTTCTGTGCATGTGTGTTGGAGGGATATGAGAATTAATATTTCTATACCCTTTTATTTTACTAAAACTATACCATAAAACTTCAGCACATATATATGTTTATGATACCCATATATTATATTAATATATTATATATTATATTTATGGCACATTATAATTTATTTATTTATACTTTTTGCAATTCTGGGCACTTACATTGAAATTTTTATGAAGTGTTATGCTGTATTATGATTAATATTGATGTGCAACTATCCTGTACATAAGTTATTTCTCTCAGATAAATTATTGGAAGTGTCAATGTGCTGTCAAAGTGAGTGAGCATTTATATGGCTTTCAATAACTTGACACCCCTTTCCAGATAGGTTAATCAATTTATACTCACACCAACAACCTACGCCCCAAGTTTCACCATGTCAGCCGACTATTATTATTAGATATTTATGCATCCATATTTATGGAAATACTTATTTTCCAGTTTGAATGAACAAAACCCCAATATCATCCTGTTTTAATTGGCATTTGATTTCTATCCTAATCTTTATGTTTCAGGTTTAGGTAACATGATAAGGAAACTCATCACCTGCGAGTAAGTGATTTGCCCATAACACACAGCGACTGGGTACTGTGTGATGTGCTCTCTCTCTCATGAATATGTACATATATACATGTATGAGATATACACACACACACATAAACATACACGTGCAATATGTACACACATCATACATGCACGCAATACATATACACACATATGTGTTAAATACATATACAAATATATGTATATATTTGACTTAGGTGTTTAATGAATTCAAATGTGTGTGTGTCTTATGTTCGTGTATATATATATTTTACAAAGAACAGCATTTCAGAGCTTCAGAAATGTTCTAGCATTCACTAAAGACTAGATATGATAAAAAAAAGAAAGGGTCACAGCTTGTTGATTCTGTCCAGTTTTTAAGTTATCTGTACCTCATCTTCAAGATGAACTTGCTTGCTCTTCATTAATTGCTGTATAAGTACATGCAGATCAGAGAATGTCTGTCTTGGTGTCTTCCTGCGCTCGGAAGAGGACGCCAGGCGGATATCTGTGCCTAGAGTCTGTTCAGTTCAGTCACCGTCAGCAGATCCAGACAATTCCATTTGCATAATGAACTCTCCGAGCTGTCTTTAAAGCCTCTGCCGGCAATGATTAGGAAGTAGCTGCCTAAGGATTATTGCCACGTTCCATTCAATGAGCTCTCAGATGCTGTCCGCTCTCAGCTGAATCGCTGACCCCTAATTTGAGGTCTAAATGAGTGTTAGTGGTTTTCTAAGAGATCTGAAAGTGCCGTGACCTTTGGCTCTCTCGTTGACACCTGGAGAATGGTGGGTGGGAGGGCAGGAAGTCAAGCCAGGCGACGTGGGTAAGATAAAAAGGGGGTCTCCATACTAACTATGGGACAAACAGGCAAGAAGTTGAATTGCAATGTTTAATAAATATTTATTGAGTACCCAATATAGAAAAATTTGGCCAGACAGTTTTGGAAAGGAAAAATTCCCTTTTTGCTGGTATCGGAACCCCCTTTACCATGTAAACGCATCATCCCAGAGGTCATTAGAGTAAGGTAGATACTGAGACATATTTAAAGGTGAATAAAATCCATTATTTAAAAAGATATTTCAAATTATAATGAAATTAGTGTACGTATATATAAATGCAAATAGAGAGAGCTATAAAAGGGAAATCAAAACTCTTCCTGAGAGAAAGCGTCCTTGACTGTTTCCATTTTAGTACCCCTAACCTTAAACTCAGCAACTCTAAGTAATGCCTATAAACCATTAGTTCTTGATTTATAACTCTAGTTACATTTATTTATTATCTATTATGAAAAATACTTTATTCACAATACCCCCTGCAGCCATCTCTCCTCCCAAAGTCTTTTTAAATACACATGGTTGTTTTAGTCTGTTATGGTCTGTAAATTTTTAAATAACCTTAATATTTATGTGTTGGTGCAGGAACCTTAGCTAGGGTCTCCATTTCCTCTTGTATAAGGACAAACAACAACTCTGTACTTCCATCTACTCTTCTTTCCTCATCCACCATCACTCAGATTCTCCCAGCTGTACCCTTACTCTAAATTTAAGATTTATCACATTTATATAATTTTTGATATTTAAACATACTTTCATGCTTCATCTGTAGTAGCAGTTCTCAGCCAGAAGCAATTTTGTCACCTTGCTGTGAAAGGACATTTGGCAACGACTGGAGACGTCTGAGCCTGTCACAGCTGGGGTGTTAAAGGCACCTAGTGGGTAGAGACCGGGGAGGTTACCAGACATCGTACTGTGAGCAGGACAGCCTCCTGCAGCAAAGAATGTATCTGGCCCAAATGTCAACAGTGCTAAGTTAGAGAAACCATGGACTCTCTCAGGCTATTATGGAACAATGAAAGCCATAAGGGATCATTTTTAAAATATCATGCAGTAGAATCCATTGAAGTGCCAAGTAAGAAGTTCTGTGTTGTTTAGAGGAGAATCTTGTAAGCACCAAGGCTGAACGACATCCACTTTCTTAAATTTCATCACTCAGTGCCACATCGTTTCTGACTTGGATCATGATTTTTAATACATTTTGGTTATCCCTGGTATTTCTAATTGCTTATTTTAATCTCGTTGAACAAAAGAAATACATGCTTATTATATAACTAGGATTATGCAGCTTCTCGATAAAAAGTCAGTATTAGACAGAATGCTTTGATGACTGCCGTATAGCTGTCATTCAGGGATTTTTTTTCTCTCTGCCTCCCTCATATCCCTCCCCAATCTTTCTTAGATTTGATATCTTTGTATCTTAGATTCCTTTTTAATTTTGCTGATCTATATCGGCATTTAATTATATCAAGGAAGATGTAAGAGAGAAAGGTTTGAATACCTTCATAGTTGATGGTTTTTCTTTCTCTTTCTGGCTTATTTCACTTAGAATGACAGTCTCCTGGTCCATCCATGTTGCTGCAAATGGCATTATTTTATTCTTTCCTTGGCCGAGTAGTGTTCCATTGTATAAATATACCACAGTTTCTTTATCCAGTTATCTGTCGATGGACGTTTAGTTTGTTTTCCATGTCTTGGACATTGTAAATAGTGCTGCTATGAACATTGGGGTGCATGTGTTTTTTTGAATTAGAATGACCTCTGGATACATGCCCAGGAGGGGATTCCTGGCTCATATGGTAAGTGTATTTTCAGTTTTTTGATCTTCCTCTTTCTCTTAATCAGAAAGAAATTATTTCCCTCAAAACCCCCTTTAGCCAACTGCCCCTTTCATATCATTGGCCATAACTGACAAACACCGGTGCTCAAGCACTGCTCAGCCCGGCAGTATATGGCTTTTCCCCTGTAGATGCAGAGCATCAGGCTTCTCTTACGATGTTGCCTTCCACTAGGCATATGAACACGCTCAGATTCTTCTAAGTAAAACAGAGAAGACTATCCAGGGACCAAGTGACAATATCTGCCACAAAGTGTTTTGGAATTTCATCACTAACATCGTGTAGGGCTGTTCTTCATTATTCTTCTTTGGTATGCAATGGGTCCTCTCAATCAAAGGAGTCGTATTTTCATTACCCTTGGGAAATTTTTTCCCTACAATTATGCTCCCCATAATTCCTTTCTCCTCTTTTGCAGGAACAACTAATAGAGAGATGCTAGCCCTCTTGGACTGATTCTCTTTGGCTTTTATTTTTCTCTCAAATTGTTTTTATGTCTCTTTTGTGAACCATGTTCTGAAAAAGTTCTTCTAACCTTTCTTTCTTATTTTCTGATGATATTGAAGTATCATCACCAGATGAGTTTCAATTCCACAAAGTCTCATGGCTCCTTTTTTCAATGAAAAATCATAAATCTGTCAGAAAAGTGCTATTTAAGATTTTTTGAAGCTTTATTTTCTTAGAAATTGTCTGTATTTGCACATGTCTCGGTTGACTAAGTCTGGGTCTACTCTCTCATGCTGAGGGTTTTTCTCCCATCTTTGGTGACCTTGGACCATTGATTCCATGGATAGTTTCTCTCCTCTCACCTTCCCACCCCTCCCCTCAAGGATTCCTGGCCTTTGACGTGAATGAGAACCACCCAACAGACAGTGTCCCCATTTCACCATCAATGCGGTAATGGGGAGGGTCCTGTTCTGGGACACCAAGCCCCATTCTGAAAGCTTTATTCACTTTCAAAAAATTTATTTGGTTTTTTTTTGAAGATATTCTTCACATTTAAAGCAAAAATATATAAATACATATACAGATTTTTATATATATTCATACATATATATATATGTATATGTATACACACACACACACACACACACACGGTATGTTCTTTGCTTTGGGGATGGTTTAAAGGAAGTGACAGGCTGCAGTTCATTCATTCACTTACATTTCTGCCCTTCTTTCCACCTTCAGTCTTCTTACCTGTTGAATCTCAGGGCAATCTGTGGAAAATGACTCCAATCTCCACTCAAGACTTCTCTGCACATTATGGCTCTGACTTTCTCTGCTACCATCATCCAGAAATCATACCACAGTAGCCTTCTGTCTTCCTGAAATTCATCACAATCTTTGGTTCATTCATGACCTCTTCCTCCATTCATATTTTTTAAAAACAATAGCACATAATCCATAGTCATGTACTTTCTAGTTAACAATTCAACGATTATTGGGGAGACACAGAAAATAAAAACTGGTATTTTTCTGCCATGGTGAAAAAGAAATCAAATTTTATTTTATTGGCTGCATACTTTATCCATGCTGAGAGAACAAATTTTGAATACATGGGTTACACGACTCCTGCGTAACCACGGAAGACCGTGTGTAACTGACTCCACAGTTCTGTTCTGTGCTCACATATCAAGCCCACGTTCCTCTAACCCTCATAACGTCGTCCTCACTGCGTTCTGTAATGTGCTTACGTTGCTTACACCAAAATGGCACCTTTTAGCACAGTGACTGGCACATAGTATAAGCTTGAGACAGGCTGGGACCTGGGACCTGGGGCCCTTTGCTGGAGTGCTTGCACCTGGACAAACATCTCCAACAGGATATAAAGAATAGGACTAAAAGTATCTGCACACATGCTCAGTTGGGACAATTATGAAAAATAAGACAAAAACAGGCCACAAATCAACTGCTGTTTCTGAGATGCTGGGAGCAAAAGCGGGGACTGTGCATGATCCCCGCACACAGCACCACCAAGGGGGCGGGCCGACCACCTAGGCCAGCCCTCTGTTCGACCCACTGATCTGTCCCTATCCTCATCCCTTTTAAGGGACCAGCCTGCCCTCCTGAGAGAGCGAGTGAGGGCACCTGTTACTTGTGCTTGCTCCCTCCTGCTGCAGCTCGAGTCCCAGCAAAGCCTTGCCTCAATTTCTCATCTGGCCTCATCAATTTCTATTGATTAAGGAGTCCAAGGACCAGAGTTGGTAACAAGCTTAAGGCATATTATCTATCATAATGGATTAATAATGCTCACCAATCCCAAAATATTCCAGGAGAAAGGCTAGGACTGATGGTTGCTCAGACGCAAAACAATTCATGAAATATTATATAAATATTTTCAAAAATGTATCTGTGTGCCCTGTAACTGTCAATTGCTATTGTTATTGGTTCTCCTTTGGTTTTCTAATTGTTTGTGCACATTGCCATGCGTCTTCACTAAGTAGCTTCTCTTTGTCTTTAACCTAATGCAAATTATTTGTCCCCTATTTTGGCGAAAAGTCCCAAACATTTTCTTCTTTGAGATTTCCCTTGCCCACTGTCTTAAATTCCCAGTATTTCCAGGAAAATGGAGGTGGTTCACAGCAATATTTGTAGGGCTCAGTAGTCAGATGACCTTTTGTCTGCTCTGCCACTTACTACATATGTGAATCTGGGCAATTACTAAGCCTCTCCCAGCTTCAGTTCCCTTTTTCGGCAAAGTATGGATACCAGCAGCACACGGTGGTGCACCATCTACGGCAGTGAGAACCAGATGAGCTATTAGATGCCGTTTCTGCCATATAGTTAGTGCTGAAGAAAGTCAGACAATTACAGAGCAAGTGTCAAGGCAGTCTACAAAGAGAAAATCGCAGTCATATTACCTCTAGCACCAAAGAGAAAAAAAAAGATAAGAGGCCATCTTTCACGTACTATGCAATAATAGCATTTGCAGACTTGACTGTTTTTGTGCCTTTGCAATCCCTCTCTCCAGACTGGAAGCATTCAGTAGAGTTTGACTTTTGTAACCGCCCTGGTCTACTTTCCCTGTTAGTGCCAGATTTGCTCTTAAGCATCACTTTCATCAGGGCTCTTTATCCTTTATCCATCAAGCTCAAGCACTTAAGCCTGGCTTTGACTGCTCCGCATGCCATGGATTCAACTCCACCTGCAGTTTTGTTTGCCAAACCTTTCATGCATTTCTGCAGGTCTCCAAGCCTTCAGTTGTGCACCATATGTGTATTGAGCCCCTCCTGCACACCTGTTGTAGTGTGAGGTGTTAAGGATTCATAAGTTCATAAGACATGCGTCGATGAACTAGCAGTCAAGTGTAGGAAAATAGATACGGAGACAGATTATCCCATCCAGGGTGATAAAGACTCTAATGAAGTTATGAATGAGGTGCAGCAAGAAGGGATGATCCTTTCCTGGCCACTGCTCTTATATGAATAAGGACACGTCACTGAGGCCTTTAGCAGTGTTTTACTATTTCAATGTCTTCACGGTCCTTAAAATGCCAGCCCGTGGAAAGGTTTTGTTTCAGAAACGAATCTGCCCTGATGGTTAGTTTAGAGGAAAAGTGCGGCGGGCGGTGTGACGCCCGTGCAAACGCTGAACAGGTGAGTTCCCAAACGTGATTAACTTACCGTGTGGCACAGAGGAAATCATTTCACTACTCTGGGACTCCGCTGTCTCATCCGCAAAATAAGGACTTGGGCCAAGTCATCTGTAATGACCATTTCTGGATTAGCAACTTGTGGTTGCGTATTTGGCCCCTGTGGCCACTGCCCTTCCAGCTGCCTACGTAAGAATATTTATTGCCAGTTCCAAACAGGTGGACTTGGGATCTGGGGTCCTCAGATAGGGGTAGTTTTGAAATACACTTGCACCGGGCTTCCTAACTGCATGTATAAGGGAATCGGCCAGGAATGGTAGGAATTGCAAAGTGTCACGTGCCCCCTTCCTTTCTCAGGATTGGATGCAGGAGGCAGCACTGTGGAGCACAAGGGAATGGAGCAGACTGTGGGATGCTCGCCTCCTCTTGGCCTTTCCAGATGAAGCAGCAGCACTGTTTGCTGGGAAACTTTAAAGGAGGATGCTCATTGGAATTGGAATGAGCTGCGGGTGTTCTAAGGCAGAAGCTTTAAAGCTGTTGGCTATTCCACACCTGGCCGAGTCTGGCTTCCTTCTCCATTTTGTTTCCTTAAATCCTCTTAAAGTTTCTAATATTTTGTATATTTTACCCACAGATGGTACTTTCCAAAAATAACTTGCATTTCCCTATGAACGTTTTAAAGTCTTTTTTTAAGATTAGAGAATGGTCTGAGCTCGGTAACTTTACTGTGGTCTTTGTATTAAATGTCTATATATGTACTAAAATAATAAAATGCACTAATTTGAAATGGACTTGAGCCCATTCTCAAAATGTGTGCTAACCCCACCAAAAATTCGTATTAATCCTGTCCTGAGCTGTGACAGAAAGACCATGGCTAGTCTAGCTGGCTAGAGAAAAACCTCTTGGGTGCAAAACATGTTTAGATCTTGTGAGAGCTAAGGTTGAGGTTTAACAGAGAAAGTGAATAAATCCTCAGGCAGGACCTGGGGAGGGAGCAGGACCAAGCCACACCTGGGACACAGGAGAGCATGGAGAAGAGGCAACATGGGTTGCCAACATGACAGTAGGGGTCTGGGGTAGATGTCTGTAACTGGAATATGAATCCAGGGGGAAAAAAAAGATGAATGGAACGCAGACCCAGCAGTCCAAATGGGCAAGCGGGTCTGGTTGTTAAGGCTGAATGCTGGATGCCGGCTCTTCCCCAAAGTCACGTTCGTTTACTCCCTCTGGCTGTCTGACTCCACCTAAAAAGCCAGGACTTACCAATCATGTTCCAAAGTACCGTGATGAGGGCTGGATGCTAGGAGAGTAACTCCCACCCGGAGAGAACACTTTCTGGAGTCTGAGTCGGTGCAAGTGTCACCGTGGGCGACGGCAGGGCCGCCCCTGACCTCGGTTCTTGTTGTCGGTGCAACAAAGAACTGAGGAGCCACACCGGCAGCAGAGTACCAGGAGGGTGTATAGGGAAGAATACACTTCGGGAGGCAATGGCCCCGACAGCAGAGGGTTTTAGCTTCTTACGCTTCCGTTTTGCCTGGGGAACCACAACACTTTTGATCGATAGTTGAGAACTCTGTGATGGGTGCCCGAATTGCGCGTTTTCCCCAGAATTCGCTTTGTTATGATGAGACTAGTATGTGGGCAGAAGATGGAGCAGGAGACAGCGAGTGTTCCAGGGCGGTCGGGTCATCTGAGGACACGGCGCCCCAGGCTTTGCGCATGCTCGCCCAGGGCGGTTTCCCGCTGTGGGTCTCAGTCTCTTTTCTGTGGTTGGTGGTTCGTTAGGCGTTACCCGTAAGGGGTGGAGCAGAGTCTCTTTTGGGTCCTCCCAGGATACCATCCTCCTGGGTCTCACCGCTCATGTCTAACTAACTGCCTAACAGAAAGATGTGATGGATGACGTAATTTTCCTAAGAATAAATTTAAATCCCGGTGGGGAAAAAAATGGCTATAGAGATTATACAGGTGCCAGAGAACAATATCTGTAAGAGACAGAAATACAGGAAAGTAGGTAAAGAAGAAAACAAACAAACAAACAAACAAACAAAAAAAACCAAGGAAATATCAATGGACAAATAAATATAAATAAATAAATAAATAAATAAATAAATAAAAGTCCAACTAGAAAGACTATCAGAGAAACAACAAGACTAGAAACAGGGGTAGACATGTCAAAGGCGAGTTCTTTCCTTCTATGTCTTTTATATTCTAAATAATGTGAGGGACAGTGGGTTTGTATTTGGGGCAAGAGGTCAAAAGAGCCCTGCCCATGTGGTAGCTCTTAATGATAACTAGAACAGAATGGTCAGACTAGGATAGGATTTTAAAATGTTAGCGACTCTCTCGCCTGTACTTTTGTCAAAAATTTTTGATTTTACAAGTAATGTATCTACATAAAATGCTATGAATATGAGTCTATTTAATAATTTTAGAAGATATGTATTATAATATTTAAAATTGTATCTGTAACAGATATATAATGTTTGTGTTTTGTTTCTCACCAGCAGCCTGATCCACCCCTCAATGCGATCCACGTAGTTCCGGAGGCCAGATATAGGACTCTGTCTCCACCATTGATTTAGGGCAGTCCACGTGACTCAAGAGTATTCTATTCCCCTGGCCACAATAGTTGACCCATGGATGCT